AAAAAAAAAAAAAAAAAAAAAAAAAAAGAGGAGAGAGAGAGAGAGAGAAAGAAAACAAATACTTCGCCATTTAATTAGTTGAGCGAAAAGAATACACAGATAATATCATTCACCATCTTTCCAGCTGCAAGAAACTAAATTACAGTTCAAGGTGGAGATTACGAAAAAAATAAATGGAAAATAGAAAGCCATGAAGGAAACACACACACATACACACACATAATCTCTTGTGACATGAGAAAAATGGAGCCAAATAAAAAGATCTAAAACACCAGAAAGTCATGAAACGGAAACAAAAATGATGATGCTGAAGAAGAAGAACACACTTACAATGCCTATTCCAACAGCTGCGAGAGAATATACAATTTCGTTCACCTGCAAGAGAAAAAAATCGTCACAGATGTTGAAAAAATTACCTCAAAGCGTTCGATAATATTGCCAAATAATAATAAGGAAAAACGACGCTCGAAGTTCAAAGAGCCACTGTGCAAATTTACTGTAATTTTCTCTAACAACTGAGATTTTCCTTTTGCCAGCCACTCGAATTTCCCGTTTCGGTGTGGTCAACACTAGCTTTGCAACAATAGCTGTAAAAGTAGAACTATGAAAATGGAAATTTGAAAGTTACTGGCGAGATTGCAGACCCCTTTTGCGAAGTGCCACAGGATAACTGCCCAGGGGTTATGATCCTCTACATTTGATCCCCCTGAATTTGTTGTGCAGTTGAGAGAGAGAGAGAGAGAGAATTGAATCTATGCATGCACCTATATATACACCAAGGCGTGTGTATTTTTCTCTCTCCTATATATCCAACCTGACACTGACCCAATATACCATTCAAATTGTGCACCATACTTTTTTTTAAACAAAATAAACCATACTTCAATAATTCATTTTCTTTTAAACAAAAATACTCTTCACAACAACCGATTATTTTTTATTTTACATAAATTTTCAAAGTATTACTTTTCAGTTAGTTTATTCAAAAAAAAAAAATCTG